GTAGGAAAAGGGGGTAGGAGGGAGAGAGGAAGAAGGAGGAGAAGGGTTAGAGGAAGGTGAAAAATTATAGAACCAGAGTAGATCAGTTGTGTTTGGAGAGGGATTAAAGAGGGAGGGTAGGATGGAAGAGTGTGGGGTGGCTTCAAAGCCCTGTGTGGTGTTCCTGAAAACACTTGAAGAGCAGGGTTGTTTCTGCTGGGTCCCTCTACCTCCACTCCTCTGTCTTCTTTCATGTCTCCTCTCTTCCTTTCTACCCTTTGATCTTATCTCTCTTCTCATGCATCTACTTCTAACTGAAGGTGCCAAGAGATTTGTGTATCCAATGAAACATATTCCATTCTTGTCATGAAACAAAGTCAAATAAAACTCAAAAAGTAAAAAAAAAGTCAAATAAAACTGATACTAAAGAGTTAAAGGAAAATATAAACTCATGTTTCCTGAATTTTCTTCCAATGAATTCATCATTATCAAAAGAGATCTGCTTCCATGGGACATAAAGCTAAAACTACAGTAAGCCTAAAATTTATTTTCCAACCTGAAATACTCTTGACAGTGAAGAAGAAACGTGCCCTTGATTATATCAGGATGACAGGAAAAATAACTATAAATATAGATCTCAATAAGTACAGACTCTACATTCTTTTATGAATTTTCTAGCTGGGCATAGCCTGGGCATGCATGGGGTCACATGCCTGTAATTCCAGCACATGGGAGGCCAAAGCAGGAGGATTACTGTGAAGTCACGGTCAGCCTGGGCTACCTAGCAAGATCCTAACTCAAAAAAGCAAAAACAAAACCAAAAAACTCAACAGATTTCATCATTCTGTCCCTACTGGCCCTGCCTTAGGTCCTGTCCCCAAGCTCCCTCCTGGGCTGTCTTTAATTGTAAACTTGGGGAGCTCCTGTTCAAGGGTGGAGTTTGTACACTCTCCTGAGAGTTGTCAGCCTTGCCTTTCTTCCTCAGAGTCCATTCCTGCATGGGCAGTGAGAGACAGCTCTGCACCCGAAGTGAGAAGCAGATGTGTTGTGGAAGGGGCAGGAAGTAGTGGGTTGATTTAGATGCAAAGATGCTGGCTCTGACCCTATGTGCTCTCCACCACCTCCCGATTACATCTTTCTCTTTTTTCTATTTTGCTGAGATGAGACTGTTGTCTTTCTGAACCCTACTGTTTGGCGGTTCACAGGTCAAGGGTAATGTGGACATCCATGGCCTATCTGGTGGATCTAGGGGTTGGGGAAGATAAGAGACAGGGCGATAGCTGTTCCTTGTCCCTTCTCAACAATAAGTGCAATAACATAAGATAATAATAATAAGTGCAAACACGAGAGAAGGAAGATGAAGTTATTTTGCTGCTAGAAACTGGTCCAGAGGGTATCTTTGCTGACTTTGCTCTCCTGCAGGGAATTTACCTAAAAGAGAATGTCTTCCTGTCATCTCCTTTATCTCTTCTTACAGTCCATATTGTTTTAGGAAGCATTCCTCTTATGTCTCAATCTTCCCTGTAGTCCTCTTCTTTTCACCTACTTCTGTTTTTAAATCTCTTCTTTTCCTCTTTCTCTGTGCTGGATTGAAGGACTCAGACTCAGGTTGAAGAATGGAAGAGGCAGGATTAGTGAAAAGTGAAGGTGAAGTGCTGATATGGGTCAGGAGAGGGCTGATATGGAGCATAGAGCACTTTCTGTCTCCAAAATAATATTATTGGAAAAAGGTGCTTTCTTTTGTGTTATTTCTAGGAAGAAAATATGCTTACTAGGTAAACACACAGCAGAAATTTCTGAAATTAGAAAATGAGAGAAATACCATGTGGGATGCTAGAACAAATTCCCAAGTTGTTTTACATAATGTGAACATCAGTCAATCAACAAAATTGACTGAGAACATAATATATACCAGGGACTCTTCTGGGTGCCTGGGAGGAAAAGTGGCATTAGAGAATAGAGGTTCTAGTCAGGAAGTGAAGAAACAAACAAATCCATGGAAACACAATGCAGCATGTCTCATGGCTTTGTATGTCTTGAGAAAACTACGGTAGGAAGGATTTAGGAATGTAAGGTGGCATTCAGCTCTATTGGGGGCATCGAGGAAAAGCTTTGCTGAGAATGTATGGGGGAAGTGGGAATAAAGCAAAGCATATCTGGGAAGAGCCTTCTGCAACAGGTAAGAGTCAGTATTAAGGCATCCATGGTCTGCAGTGTGGAAGGAATAGCAGGAAGGTCAATGAGACTGGGGTAGGGAATTATGGGGAGAGCAGAAGGAAAGGAGAGGGGGTGGATATGATCAAGGGCCCATTGATGAAAGCATTACTTTTTTCCTGGAAGGACTATGGCTTTTACTTTTGCACAGATAGGTTCACTCCAGTGTTGTGTGTCAATAGACTGAAGGTTAGGGAGGCAAGTGTGGCATGGGAGGGCAAGCCAGCTAGGCATCATTACCATTAACCAGAGGGGCAATGCTTATGGTGTGGGTAGGTAGGCACTGATGGGAGTGGGAAGTGTTCAGGGCTGGATATGTTTTGGAAGAAGAGCCAGCAGTTCTTTCTGGTGTTAGGATGTGTGCCTGAGGTAAAGTGAGGAGTCGAGTGACCTCAAGAGATATGGCTTGGGCAACTGAACAGACCGACTATTAACTGAGCTGGGAAGGAGGTAGGGACTGGTATTTCTCCAGGGAGATTAAGACCTTTCATCACTTTAGGGAGTGCAAGGCCTTTGGACATCCAAGGAGAGGTGTTAAATACAAAGTGAGTATAACAATCTGAGTTCAAAGGAGCCATCCAGAATGGGCAGAGAAATATCATTCATCAATCATTTAGTATCATAGTATAGGACAGTGAGAGGAGAAAGGGGAATGGAAAATGCATGTCCTTAAAGCTGCATGTGGCCAATTGCCTCTGTGTCCTATTGGTAGGGCTGAGTATCCTCAGCACAAGGAGGAACCTGTTCTGTGAGAGCTCAGGAAGACCTGGGTTGTTCTGCAGGCTGGTTGATCCTAGGGCCAACATGGCTATGGTAGTGCTTTAAGACTGTGGGAACAGTGATTTGTTCTGATGTGAAATCCCATTATACTTGGTGTCATTGTTTAGAAAGAAACCTGGGCACATCTTTTGGGGCACAAGTCAGGACATGCTTTCTTACATAGAAAAATGAGTGATGTAGCTTTCTAGTCATTGAGCTAGCCCAGGCCACCCTAATTTAGGAAACTACCCTGGATCATTGGTGCCCTGTATAAATAGCCTAACTTCATCTTTCAGCGATGTAAGGCAGGCATGAATACACCATTTGTGGAGAACCTTCCCATGATTTGAAAATACCTAAAACTAAGCTGGGTGTAGTGGTGCATGGCTGTAATCTCAGGACTTGGGAAACTGAGGCAGGAAGATCAGTCCAAGTTTGAGGCCAGCCTGGGTGACATAGTGAGTTCAAGGGCAGCCTTAATTATAGACCGAGACCCTATCTCAAAAATAAATGAACAAGAAAACACCTAAAACTGATTGTCTCTCATAGAAAGGAATTAAGTAGTGAACTTCTACTACATCCAGGGTAAGAATAAGGTTCCTGCATCAAAGGAGGCTTGCTGCTGGCATAGATAGAACTTGCCATTACATATCACTTCATCATGAATAATTTTACTCAGGCAGTAAATGATTGAGATCATACTATGGCAAAATTCTATGAGTATTGAGATCATACTATTAACTGGCACAATTCTAGGAGCTGACAGATGTCATGGGAAGCAATACATGCTACTTATATTCCAGTGAGACAATACAGATGGTTAGCAGGTATGTGGTCAAATAGTATAAGTCCTGTGGATTTCTTGAAGTCAGAGAATGGGATCTCAAGAGCAAAATGCTTGTATTTTATTTTATTTTTCTCAGTACTGGGAATTGAACTCAGGACCTTGTGCTTGCCAGGAAGGCATGACACTACTGAGCTAAATCCCCAGCCCACTTGTGTTTTAATATGTCCTTTTGACTCTACAAAAGTGGTTATTTGAGTAAAAACACAAAGCAGGTAGGAAATAGAAGCCTGGAAAAGGAGGAACACACTGTAGAGAAAAACATACAAAGGGAAAAAGTGGGAGTGTGTTCACTTTGTCTGGGGAAATTCAAGAAAGCATACTAAGCAAAAAGAGAATGGGAGGAGATGAGCACAGAAGTGTGTGTGTGTGTGTGTGTGTGTGTGTGTGTGTGTGTGTATGAGATATAGCCCCTTGTTTATAAAGTTTTTATTGGAAATCATTGAGTAATTTCACCAGGAAATTTATTTCATATGATTTATATTCTAGCAAAATCACATGAATTGTTATGAGAATAGACTCAGGAGGTTTGAGGATAAAGCTGGGAGACCATAGAAGAGGATATAATAATACACAGGAGAGGATATAATAATCTGAGAGAGGTTGGTTATCTTGGGCCAGGACACTTGCAGAGGGGATCATAAGAGCTGATTAAATTCTGAGAAACCCTGAATCTAGAACCAAGAGGTTTTCCGATGTTTGACTCTATGAATGAAAGAAATATTGGGATAAAAATGATTATAAGATTTTTAGCCTGAACAAAGTAAAGGCTCAGGAACAACCCAGGTATCCATTATCTTCCCTCATTGTAATGTATAAATTATCTCTTGGTCAGGAAATGGTCAAAGTATTGTTAAAGATGATTTACCAAGTTTATGTGATACCAGCTAACAAGAGTCAATGGAATTTTGCATGCTGAATGAAGACTGTCCAATAGTCCTGTGACACAAAAAACTTCAGTTTCTACTCTTCTTAGTGTAGATATATACTGATATAGATATGTAGTCTAATTCTAGATAGCAAAAATCCCATCATATTGTGTCCTGGGAATATGAAAGAGGATTTTCTAGTATTTCCCAAAGCATAACTTTTTGAACTCATGAATTACAAAAAATGTATCTGACTGATGAAGAATTAAGAGATAGACATTACTCCATCTCTGAATTTCTCTCTCCATATTCCCAGGTGACTGAAAAACTAAATCATGGAAGTATGGTCAAACCAATCATTTACAAATGGATTCATCCTCTTGGGTATCTTTTCCCACAGCTGGACTGATCTCATCCTTTTCTCTGCAGTTATGGTGTTCTTTATGGTGGCCCTTTGTGGAAATGTTCTCCTCATCTTCCTCATCTACATAGAACCTCAACTTCATACACCCATGTACTTCTTTCTCAGCCAACTCTCCTTCATGGACCTTATGTTAGTCTGTAATATTGTGCCAAAGATGGCAGTCAACTTCCTGTCTGGCAGGAAGTCCATCTCTTTTGTGGGATGTGGTGTACAAACTGGAATTTTTGTCTCTCTTGTGGGATCTGAAGGGCTATTACTGGGACTCATGGCTTATGATCGCTATGTGGCCATTAGCCACCCACTTCATTATCCCATCCTCATGAGTCAGAGGGTCTGTCTCCAGATTGCTGGGAGTTCCTGGGTCTTTGGTATACTAGACGGAATAATTCAGATGGCAGCAGCCATGAGCTTACCCTACTGTGGCTCAAGGAATGTGGATCACTTCTTCTGTGAGGTGCCAGCTTTACTGAAGCTGGTCTGTGCAGACACATCCCTTTTTCACACCCTGCTGTTTGCTTGCTGTGTCTTCATGCTGCTCCTTCCCTTCTCCATTATTGTGGCCTCTTATGCTCACATCCTGGGGGCTGTGCTCCATATGCACTCTGCTCAGGCCCAAAAAAAGGCTCTGGCAACATGCTCTTCCCACCTGACAGCAGTCTCCTTCTTCTATGGGGCAGCCATGTTTATCTACCTGAGGCCGAAGCGTTACCGGGCCCCTAGCCATGACAAAGTGGTCTCTATCTTCTACACAGTGTTTACTCCTATGCTAAATCCCCTCATTTATAGCTGGAGAAACAGGGAAGTGATGGGTGCACTGAGAAGAGCACTGAACCATTGCAGTGTTGGTACCCAGCGCTGAACACAAGGGTTCTTGGTGCCTGTCTATACCACCTTCTGGGTGCAGAACATTGGTAAAACTCTTACCCTTAGTGAATGTCTGTTTACTTATCAATAAGTGAGATTCATAACACCTTTCCCTACATCACAGAGATTTTGTAAGGATCACTACACATAAACATAAAGCCTTCTGAGGGAGCAATGTATTGCTATAATTTTCACTATTAGTATTTATAATATCCTGTAATTAAATTTACTTTATTTCTTAATTCTTCTTGGTCGTAATTATCTTTATTTTTAAAACTAAATTCTTTTATTGGTACATTGTAAGTATACAACACAATTACATTTCTCATTGGGAATAGTACTTTTACGTAATGCATCTTGGTTCTTATTTTTTCCCCATTCCTAGACCTCCCTTCATGCCCTTCACCCTTCCCTATTTACAAAGACTTTATTTCCATTTTTTCCATTTCTCATCATTTGTCCTTTCCCTTCTTTCCTTTCCCCTGTTCCTCCCACTACCCCTACACCTTTGGACCTTTTCTTCCTATTTTACATTATCGATTATTCATTCTAATCATTGGTACATTTTAGGTATACAATATAATGACATTCATCATTG